TGGTAGGTAGATTTCCAAGAACCGTACTATCATACCGAAGGGTGGTAGGTAGATTTCCAAGAACCGTACTATCATACCGAAGGGTGGTAGGTAGATTTCCAAGAACCGTACTATCATACCGAAGGGTGGTAGGTATATTTCCAAAAACCGTACTATCATACCGAAGGGTGGTAGATAGATTTCCATTTATCGTACTATCATACCGAAGGGTGGTAGGTAGATTTCCAAGTACCGTATTATCATACCGGAGGGTGGTAGGTAGATTTCCAAGTACCGTACCATCATACCGGAGGCTAATAACTTCTTTGTTTTTACTTCCGAAGAAAGGTTTAGCAAAGTTGAAACGAACAAGTACATTTTAAAACGGATACTTTTGTTTGAGCGCAGTTCTTCTCGTGATTTATATATTTATGTTAAAAGGTTTTCAGTGACTTAGGTCGTCGCAACATTAATTCAAAATACTTATATATTCACGTTATCAGTTAGAGAATATTTGTTAATGGCAATAACTTTTTCTTTATATTCTGCTTGTATTTGCAGGAAGCAGTGTTTTATTGTCTTGAAACAAACTACTGTGATGTCAACGCTCGTGACAACGCAGGTTACACGCCTCTGCACGAGTGCTGCTCACGTGGAAACCTTGAAATCGCAAACGCTCTTGTTCAGCACGGTAGTGACGTCAGTGCGAGCGCTGTCGGAGGAATAAGGTACGTGTAAGTCACGGAATAGAAATTTATATCGTAATTTTCAATTTTTCTTTTAATTAGCAAATTTTGTATGAAACTTGAAGGTTTAAATGAGGAATTTTTCGGTCTACGACCATGATTCTGGGATGGGGTGGGGGTGGGGAAGTGAAATATCTTGTTTTTTAGTCTGCTATTTTAAGAAATCAATGTCGCGGGGTAAAATCATTGCAATGTTTTTGGATAACATTCGGCTGTATTATTTAAAGGGAACCAATGCATCGTTTTGTTTTGGTATATAATGTTTATCATGATTTGTCATGATATGAAATGAAAATTAGTTGTCGGTCAGCTGTGTGTGTAATAAGATTACATACATTATTGAACAGTGTTTCACGTTTCCTACGTATACCAATAAGTGGCGCTGCTGCGGTAGAGCTCTGTCACAATATGAGCTTCAAGCTGTGGTTGCGTTATAAGAGTGACAGTCAATGGTAAATGGTGGGTGGGAAGGTGCTGCTGACTAGCAGCATTCCTCTCTGGTCGGTAGTTCAAATAAATTAGGGATGGCAACAGATAGCTTCAGTAACTTTGCCATAATCACAGAATATAAATACAAGTGTTAATAGCAAAGAACTGGACATGTTCCGAGTGGCCGAGGGGTAGATGAGAGAACTTTGACATAATCACAGATAAAAATACTAGTGCGTCCATTTTAAGATAAGTTTTCGATCTGAGCAAACGTTAGAATACGTTACTGGTCACCTGAACTGGATAAGTGTGGATAAGTAATGATGGATAAGTGTACCCTAATAACACACCAGATACTCGCTAGAATGAAAAATGATTCTAGTTGAACTTAGGCCATGTGTACTCATTTACTACTAGCGAGGTATTCAGTGGACGTTATTTGTCTTTAAAGATGGGCAGTCCTTTTAATCAGCCTAGACTGTGTTGAAGACACATTTAAACTATACTTGATCACGTGTGAAATAGTGCCAAAATGGAGTATGACTAAAGTAACAGTTTTCTTTTGAACATGTAATTTAGTTTGGGTGAGGATTATTCTATTTAGGAACGACAACGCAAAACAATTTATTTTAAGCACTTGTTTAATGATCCTAACTTCTGCTCAGCATTAAGTCTGAAGGCTTATAGCGCTAAAAACCAGCACAGATAACCCATTGTGTAATTTTGCTTAACAAAAGAATATAACTTCTGTTTGAAAAAGGTTTTGATTTCACGATATAACAGTTTTAATAAGTGTAAATAAAGTCCAGTGAAAGTGGGTTTATAATACTTTTTGGTGGTAAGTTTACTCTGATTATCTGAGACATGAACGTAGAAGAACGAGAATTTACCCGTTTAGTTGATTTCCAACGGCAAAATTTTATAATGAGATGTTTACCTTTTCACAGCTGGAGAAATTTGTTAACTGACTCACCATTATTAAATACTACGAAAGTATAATGTACAGGTTAAAGCGTTCATGAAAAAAAGGTAACAAGGGTTGAGCATGTAGCCACGCCGTCAATAATCTGTTCAGAAATTTTATTCCGTTTAACATAAAATATGATTGTTTCCTTACAAGACGTAAAAGTTAAAACATCTTTAGTTACACTCTGTACAATTTCATTCTCAGAAAACACGAGGTTACAACAAAAAAAACAGTGGTTTCATTTAGAAGTGTATTTGTAGACAATGACTCGGTATCATAACTAGCATAACGAATATTATCATTAAACTGTTTCTGCTTTAAGATATTAGCAGATTCAAAAGTATCATTAACAGATATTTATTCTATACAAACTCTTTCAAAGACAGTTCCAGAAATTGTGCTATTGGTTGATTACAAGTGCCTACACTATAAACAGTTGGTCTAACTGGACATCCTTGTTTGTGGACCTGAGGGGGTCCATATAAAACCCAACATTGTGAGCCCGTTAGTCCGATTTTTAAAAATATATTTCTTCACTTATGATGCTGTCTTTTCTAAATCCCAGTATAAAGTTTACTGTTGAAATCAACAGAATGACAACTTTTAGTTCCTAATATTCATATCTTAAATAACCAAAGTAAACTTACCACTGAAGTGTATCATGAACTCACTTTCACTGGACTTTATTCTGGTTTAAACCCTGTTATATAGAGCTTTTAAGATATCAGGAAATCAAAACCTTTAAGAAGGAGAATTTGACAACATCAAACAAAGGTGTAGAGGAAATTTTTCCATTGTAATTTGTAAATACAATGATCCACACAAAAGCTGAAGAACACCCAACTTTGGTACTATTTCATACAGGGTTAAGTAGAAAATTGTCAAATATTTATATTCATAAGTTCATTTAAAATATGTCTTTAAAAATAGTCTGGGTTAATTAAATGGGTTATTCGACTTTAAAGATAAAATTCTTTGATTATATCATTAGTGCCTGAGGTGCAAACATTGATATATTAGATCAACCACCAGAAGGTCCTGTTGTGGAATAAAATAACTCTGTGATTGTAAAACCTACAACAGTACTATTACTAACCACTCTCTAAAGAGGATATGATGTTGTGCCAAACTCCAGTTTTTTCTGTGTCATTCTCCAATCCTTGGAAATATTCCACCTTAGAGTGGTAGGATTTCTTGCGATGAAGCTAAGAACACTATCTCTTAACCAAAAGATTATAACGTTACTATGTCTTCAATGTAAAGAAATGAACAGAACAATAACTTTGAATGTTAAAGATGGGGTAGACTAAAAGTTTTAAGAACATGTAAAAAAATATTATTATAATATTGTTTTATAGGCCTCTTCACGATGCAGTGGAAAATGATCAGTTGGAAATCGTACGGCTGCTGCTCTCCCACGGAGCTGATCCTCTGATAGCCACATACTCTGGACTAACCCCTCTCAAGCTGTGCAAGTCTGCTGTATTAGAGGAATTCTTTAAAGGTATGTGTTACCGGTTAAGTACTGTAATTTCTTAGAGACTCTTTAAGTCTAAGATATACACTTAATACACATTTCCATAGATACAGTCTAGGGAGGCTGTCGGGCTGTTATATAATTCTCAAAAAGGAAGTCACAAATGATTTTAGGAAGTGAAATCACAATTATTTATGGAAACATTTATTTTTATTTTCTACGAGAGTAACTGACATTCACCTGAAGAATTAAGATAATTTTAAAATGATGCTGTTGAGAAAAGAGTAAAACTGTTACGAAGCAGTAGGCTTAAGAGTATAAAATTAGAGGCATCGCATTTTTCAAATGTGTGCAAATTTTCTAAGTGCAAAAGCAGTTCCTCCATCGGTAGGTTTGAAGGCTTATGACACTAGAGATAATGTATAGTTTTGTGCTTAACAATGAACAAGCAAATAAAAATAAAATCGGAACTTGCATATCGAAAATTGTAAATATAAATCTGTAGAAAAGATAAGTAAGAAAGATTAAATGTTTGAAATCTATTAGAATGAGAAAGCTGTTCTAAAAATATTGGTCAGAAGAAGGAAAGATGAAATTTGAAGAGATCAATTATTTTACATATTGCTATAGATTATAAATGGAAGCTCAGTGATAGCAAGTAGTATTTTTGAAGCTGTGTGAGACCAAATACAACTTAGCTCTGGTTTCACACTAAAATAGATATGACAAAAGTAGAATTATGAAGCCTGTAATCATGCTCACATTTTTAATTTGCTGTAATGTAAATAGATCTTGTAACACTGGAGTAAACATATGGAAAGTTGGTTATTGTTGTATGTTTATAAATAATTTATTGACCTGTTATTTCATATACTGCTCATTTTTGTACAATCTGTAGTAAACAACATCTTAAAAATAGTGAATTTTACTTTTGAAAACATAAGTATGCATTTTAAATGTGTCCTGTTTAGATATTTCTTCACGTATTGAAGCTATAACTTTATAAGCTATCTGTGTTATTACAATATTCCATGAACTGTATATTCTATTGTTTTCATCTTCCCCAGGAGAAAATAGGCACCTATTGTTTATACAGTTTACACTGTTGGGTCAAAGGAAACAGAAGAGGTTTATTTAACCTGTACGTGTTAAACTATTGATAGTCCAGGAGTAAGAAGGATTGTCCCATATTCTGAAGGAAACTAAAGAGGTTTATTTAATTCCTAGCTTTTGGACTGTTGGGCAGTCCAGGGGTTAGGAGTGTTTCCTATATTCCGAAGGAAATAAAAGGGGTTTATTTAAATCCCTAGTTTTTGGACTGTTGGGCAGTCCAGGAATTAGAAGGATTGCCCCTTATTCCAAAGGAAGTAAAAAGGTTTTATTTAATCCCTAGCTTTTAGACTGTTGGGCAGTCCAGGGGTTAAAAGGATTGCCCCTTATTCCAAAAAAATAGGGACTAAAGATATTTTTATTCATTTTATGGACGTTTCAGAAACAAGCTTTAACTCTCTTCTTGTTATTTACTCGCGTAGTTTTGTTGAAGTTTGATATTTTTTATTTATATAAGCACAGATAGGAGATAACATTGATGACTGTAGTCCCAGAAAAGACCCATATTTCAGCTTATGCTACTTCGGTGTGATTCTTAAACGTAAACATACGAAGCTGGTCATCAAAAAATCCAACAAAACCGAATTTTGTTTGAACTGCAAGAATAAGGCCATTTGTGTAAAATGTAAATCATTACTGACGTTTTGTGTAACATCGTTTTTACGTTCTACAGGCTATATGAACGATCTCAGCGGACAGACAGACACATTATGGCGGTTTCCAGGCTCAGCAACTTGTTTAGGTGAGTCATAATTTAGTCATTGGAATTCCTGTAGATTAACCTTCGAATTAGAGACTCGTTTTTCTACCGTCCGCTTTTCACGAAGCCCTCATATTGCACCGTGTTGTGTAATTCTGTGTTTTTGTTTGTAACAACAATGGATGTAAAGAACTAGCTAAAATACGTAAGGTATAATTACTCATTATCTATGTAAAATACATAGGAAACTCCAGCAGTGACGTAGTCGGAGGAGTCGAAAGACTACTTCGATATTCTAAGAAGTGTAAAAGCTCCACTATCTTCTGATTTAAAAAAAATAAACTTGTGGTGTTAATACATGTATCTCATTAGTAACCCTGTAACCAAGAAAGTCATGGACTCACAGGCAATACGGTGCATATGGCTAAGAAACTGTTTAAAAACCCCATGAGGTAAGTAATTCTAGGATTAATCAACTTGAAAGTTTAAGAGTCCCGTGAGATCTTAAGAACAGCAACAAAACATAACTAACTATTAAACATGTGCGGAGTAGATACAAACACCTAAGAAAATAACAGAAATTAGAAATATTTTCTTTTTGTTAAATGTTTTGTTTTTAACATCAATTAATTTAACCATGTGAGGTGGTTTAAAGGAAAACTTGAATTGTCCGAAGTGAAATAGGCATAATATATGAATCAAATAACTAATTAATTTAACTGTTATCAACTAAATAAACCAAATATATATTTATTGCATTTGTTACTAAACATTTATCTTACATAATTAATACAAGTACCGTGCGTTTAGAGCAACTTAAATATCTATTCTTATATGTCAGTTATTAATATATTTGATGTGGCTGTAGTTCTGGCCTCTATCTATTGAAATCTACAGTAGTAAGTGATGCTAACATGTCTGACTTTGTAGCTGTAAAACTGAAAATACAGGTTAAGTGACTGTATAGCTCAAAGTATAGAAAATGTCTAATTATGTAGCTATACAGCTTAAAGTATACAACACAAACAAAAGTACCCGTCCCCAGTGACGAGGAAAGTTTAAGTTGTTCTATGAATTTAAATTCTTTTATAGACTTTAAATAGGTTAATTATGTTGCACTGTTGGTTTCACTCAGAGCCAAAAAGCTCTGAGCTACTTATACCACCCACTATGAAAAGTAATTGTTGAGTATTCCAGTCATGCTAAGAGCCGCTCAACAATAACATACGGTAAATCTACATTTTTATTCTTTAAGTTACGTCACATTTTGAAATGTGAATGATAGTGCGATTAATTTCTAACAATCTAGTGTAGAATTTCCCGCTTACGAAATAAAATTTGGCATCAATATTACTCATGCTTGTCATTTCAAAAAGTGAATGCTGAGCTTTGGCTGCGTACGCAGCTTTTCAAACCGGAAACAGACGAACGTTTGAACAGACACTACAGTCCGCAATATATATAAAAGATACCTGACATTGTTGCTATAAAACCCAAAATAATATAGATAAAGTAAATGTACAGCTCAAAATATAGAATATGTTAGAAGCTATTGAACTTCTCGTATAAAACAATGTCTAATTATGTGGTTACACAGCTCAAAGTATAGAACATGTCTAATTATGTGGTTACACAGCTCAAAGTATAGAACATGTCTAATTATGTGGTTACACAGCTCAAAGTATAGAACATGTCTAATTATGTGGTTACACAGCTCAAGTATAGAACATGCCTCACTTTGTAGCCATAAAATTCGATGTATAGAAAATGTATAATTATGTAGTTTGGACGCATTGTATACTTTTTTTTAACCACTGTAATAATAATGGTAAAATTTCGAACATTTATCTTTGTTTTGACATTAAAAAAAAACGTCCGAAAAGTTACTATAATGTATTGTTTCGGTGAATGTTTCTCTAAATTATTATTTTATGGAGCATAAAATCGATTTTCTTTATCTTCCTCGATCTAATTGTAATATAGACGTTAATAAATGAATTGGCCCGTCATGGCCAGGTGGTTAGGGCGCTCGACTCGCAATCTGAGGGTCGCGGGTTCGAATCCCCGTCACACCAAACATGCTCGCCCTTTCAGCCATGGTGGCGTTATAATGTGACTGTCAATCCCACTATTCGTTGGCAAAAGAGTAGCCCAAGAGTTGGCGGTGGGTGGTGATGACTAGCTGCCTTCCGTCTAGTCTTACACTACACTGCTAAATTAGGGACGGCTAGCGCAGATAGCCATCATGTAGCTTTGCGCGAAATTCAACAAACAAACAAACAATAAAATAATCATATCTGACTTAATTTGCTGTCAGAACTGACGTATGTTGTATAGTATCAAATATGGAACCGAAAATGTTCTTCAGGAATGAGTATAGAAACATGGTTTCGTGTAACTTGTGTTTCGTACACGACTATAAGTCATTCCGTCTCTTGAGGGACGTATGAATTTAGTGAGAAACTGGTCAAGGCCACTAAACGTTTGACCAAAGTATTCTAATATTAGAATAAACTAAAACACGTTTTACAAAGATAGTTGTAAGGAATGGCCTTTTGGAATGTTTGATCGTATAGGGTGTGGCCTTTGGAATGTTTGATCGGATCCAGCCGTAAATTTGAGTACAATCAATAATTTCAAAAAGCACATTGCGATTAATTTTTATTTGTTTAAGGCTTAGCAAGTAGAAAGATTTCGTATCGCAGAAAATGTTCAGAACATGTTATAGTTTTGATTGAGAATAAATGTGTTCCTAGCTTGTAGTGCTAAAACTATATATGTAGTAGATTTTTTTAGACACTCTCCGAAGACGACACGGAGATAATACATAGGCAGCTCTTACGTTAGTTACAGTGAGATGACGTTCCTTATTTTGTTTTAATTGTTAGATATCCCAGTTATTTAATACGAACGTGACTTTCTGGTAGTTGTACAAAACCTTGTTTAATAGAAAATACTGAATAATTTTTGTGTTTTTAAATAAAAAACCCTTTTTTTTTTTTAGAATCCTAATCTGCCAAATTAAAAACTAGTTTCATCGGGGTTCTGGCATTTCTAGATAGCGCGAGTATGTCATGCTTCATTAAGAGTAGAGGATGGCCAGAAACAATTACACCTATCACGCACTTTTTCTCAAGTCGTGTTTTTTCATTTCTTTTCATAAGACGCGTAGCTAAAGGAAGCTGCATTTTATAAAACGTGTTAGGCTGTTTACTGTGTACAGCACTTTAGATAATATATTATACTATATAAAGATATCTATGTTATATATAATAATAAGTACTTCGTGTTTTAGAAAAGGCACGACTTGGTGAAAAAAAAAGCATTTAAATATCATTTGGCGTTTTTATGACTGTATATTTTATATAATAAATGTACAAAGATTTCATTAAACTGTAAGATATGTGATTTCATTGTATGTTCCAGATGCTTTAACCAACGTCACCTTGCATGTTTCCGGCATGTTGAGTTACTGTACATTTGTATTTAACAGCTAAGTCTGAAGAAAGACACCTGTCCGAAATATAGGCAAGATTAATGTTTTCGCACAGCCCTGTGTCTTTTTCATTTTTTATTCAGTGATATTGCTCTTCTTTCGTATCTTTTGTGTTTTATGTATCTAAATATTTCTGTGATACTACTTTTCTTTCACACCCTTTATTTCATATATGTACTAAAATATTTCTGTGATACTACTTTTCTTTCACACCCTTTATTTCATATATGTACTAAAATATTTC